TACCCTCACTCCAAGCACACTGACTGTTCTTTAGTATGAAATTGTTTATGACTGCTTAACAGAATAGCCATTAAAGTACCAATTACCTTTTTGTGCATGGCTTGCAAATTTAGCATCACTGCATACTCATTAACAATAATCCTCGAAATGTGTCTTATTATAAAATCATATTTATACCACTCACATGAGGGGAGGGAAGTTTGTTGAAGACATTTTTGTTGTTTGGTGATTTGTTATTTGTGGAATTTATTCAAGTGTGTGGAATGAGATTAACTTTTGACTGCATTTATTCCTCACAACTAGCTTTTTCAATGCTCCAAAAGTAATGGCTTAGACACTGAGTTGTGGCTAAATTCAGCAGTGACCATGAGCTGCCACATCTGCACTGATAAGCAAGAGCATCACATGAAATTGGATCATTTGCATCATCAGAATATGATTGGAATGCAGTTCCCCAAAGCATAGAAAGCCTGGACTTGGTTTTCTGTAGGTTTGGAGGCAGAACAATATGGAAGAGCTCATCATGATGCCTGTACTTAGAGAGCACCTCAGTGACCCACTGCAAGGGACATCAGGAGATACCTAATTACTGAAGCCTTTTAAATAACAGTCTAATATCATCATCATCAATATGATAAATCTTTTTCTATTTGACATTTAACGGACCAATCTTTCAGTCCAACACACATTCTAGAACATCTCATTTTTGCTTTTGCACAGCTATTTCAAAACAAATTGCCAGGATAACATTAATCCACACTCTTTCATATGACTGTTAATAACAAAAGATAAAACAAGAGCACATTGCTTTGTCCAGCAAACTCGAAATGCAGTTAAGCCAATCTAATCCTTTCTAACTCCTTCCCTGGAGCAATGTTACTTTTTTCTTCTGTTTAGATGCTTCTCCTAGGAACACCTGAGGATTGTGAGGGGCTGAAGAATTTCGAAGAGAGTGCTGGGATCGACTTAGTCCTTCTCTCACTGTGGCTTGCCTCTGGTAGCAGGATGCTTTAAGCTGCATCTTTGGACTTTGTTTCTCAGGAGCCTAATTTCACTTCTTATAAGACAACTGCCTTAATAGGGAAGCTCAAAGACCGGCATGAATGGCTGGTATGAAAGATAAAGCTTCATACAGTAACAGATCAGCTCTTCCCCTGGGCCTTGGACCCTGCACCTGGATCCTCAAAGACCATTTGGATATCTGCCTGAATAGCACTTGAAATCCCTGAGAGAAAGCAATCCACATTTGGCCTTCAAGGTATGGAAATTCATACTCTAAGATCTGTCTAATTTCTTCTACACAGCTACAGAATTGCAATCAATGTTTCAGGAGTGAAATAGAACTCCTGGTCCAGGGAGGCATCTTAATTAGGATGGGAGAGAGGTGGGTGCTCTGTAATCCAATGTAATTGTCCTGTGCTCCATTCATGGCTGAAAAGAACATTCAGTATCTCTGATGTTGCCTCAATTGAGGGCTGAAGGTTCCAGACTCTCAATAGTCAATTGCCACACTTGCTTGGAGACTGCACTCAGAGTCAATGTAGCCAAAATAACCTTCTCCTCCAATTACTTTCTAAAAGCTAACCATCCTTTGCCAGAGATAGTAGGAACTGCAGATGCTGGAGAATCCGAGACAACAAGGTGTAGAGCTGGATGAACACAGCAGGCCAAGCAGCATCAGAGGAGCAGGAAGTGAAGAAGGGTCTAGGCCCGAAACGTCAGCCTTCCTGCTCCTTTGATGCTGCTTGGCCTGCTGTGATCATCCTTTGCCACATGACTTTTTCATACTTATAGATTCATCCAGTGCCATAACACCTGAACTGATATAAACATGAAAATGCAGATGCTGCAAGGTGAAATTGTGTAACTTGCAAGGAAAGGAAAAAACAGAGCCGGATCTCAGTCCAGGATTTTACCTGGAGGCTTCAACTTGACTTCTTCTCAGTCTCCATTTTCCTCCTGCTCATCTTTATCATCCTTATAATTTGCAAGGAAGAAGCTCCATCACTCCATCACTCGTCTTCTTCCTCATTGTCATCCTGTACCTTATCTCATCATATTGCGAATTGTATGGAAATAATGCTTATGGAATGGGAAACTGTAATGCTGTTGCATCTGGTGTGGATGTTCAATTGCCAATAAGCTTGATGTCTCCATCACCTATGACATGAGCAGAGTGTGTCCTCATTATGGCATGGCATAGATTGGACTTCTTAATGTTGGATACCTGGTCTGGTGCTTTGCCTTAAATAGGCATTGTGTACAACTTCGGCCTGCAACATTTTTAAATGGATTGAGCAAAAACTAACAAGTCTCCCAGTGGAATTGAGCAAAACATACAAGCAATAAAAGCAGAAAATGCTGGAAATACTTAGCAGGTCAGGCAACATCTGTGGAGAGAAATAAAGCTAATGTTTCAGGTCGATGACCTGTTAATGCTGCAGGACAATTATTAAATGGAAGGGTCAATAACCTGAAACTCTAACTTTGATTCTTTTTACAAATGCTATCTGAACTGCTGAGTGTTTTCAGTATTTTCTGTTTGTATTTCAGATTTCCAGAATTTGCAATATTTTGCTTTTGAGTTGTTGCATTTGATATGTGTGTTGGTCACAGTGTGTTAAAGGGAACAAAGGATTTTGTACTTGCAAATAATCAATGTTAGGATGTTCAGTGAAGGAGAAGTATGTTAACTTTCTTGCCATGGTTGAATCTTGAGAGACTGGTCTAAAGTTCTGGTCTCGCTGCTAGCACCATATCCTTCCACATTGCAAGAAACAGTTTGTCTGTAAATTCTTTCCACAAAATCGAGAAGTCTGAATCTTCTTTGCTGAGATGAATTCAGAAGAGTTTCATTGAATCATGAATCCCTACAGTGTGGAAGCAGGCTCTTTGGCCCATCGAGTCCACACCGCCCCTTCGAAGACCATCCCACCTCGACCCATCTCCACCCACCCCCCTTATCCTATCCTGGTAACCCTGAGTTTACCACAGCCAATCCACCTAGCCTGCATATCCCTCAACACTATGGGCAATTCAGCACAGCCAATCCACCAAACCTGCATGTCTTTGGACTGAGGGAGGAAACCGGAGCACCTGGAGGAAACCCACGCAGAAACAGGGGGAATGTGCAAACTCCACACAGACAGTCATCTGAGGCTCCAATCAAACCTGGATCCCTGGCGCCATGAGGCTCAAGACTGCTATCCCAAAGGTTTTGCACTGATCTTCTGCTCCTCTGCATAGTAGCCTCCTCTATTTTGTCAATGCTCGATCCTACAGTGGAATATCAATTTGGACACTGACGTGAAATTACCCATGGGCCAGCTATCTAACTATGAACTGAATGCTCTAAACATGTAGGATTCTTAAGGGGCTTGACAGGGTAAATGCTGAGAGGATGTTTCCCCTTGTTGGAGCGTACAGGACCAGAGGCCAGATTGGCCTACTCCTGTTCCTATTTCTTATGGATTTGTGGTGTATTGGGAAGTGTGCAGCATAAACGTCATTCATAAGGCACTGCTTCAATTTTAACCCTCTGCACATTTCAATCTGGCAGTGAGGGGGAGGAAGGTGAATGGTTAAAATCTAGCCTACAGTATCATTATGAATTTGTATATTACCATTAATGAAAGCTATCTGCTTTTAATCTTATGTAGCCAACTTTATAGATTTTAAACCCTATTGAAATATATTATAAATTATTAATATATTAAAACATCATCGAATGCCATAATTTAATAAATTCTATATTACAATAAAGATTGAATAAAAAAGAACAGTCAAGCATAGAGAAAGAATGACGTTTGCATCTCACAAATGGAATAAATTAGCAAGGTAAGGATGCAGTTTGTACTTTGGTTGAATTGGGTCTGAACAGCTGGGATTTTAGGGCTTGTTTGATCTGCCCTTCCAAGCTCTGATGATCCTATGAAATTATATTTAATGGATATGAGCTGCAGTGAGGAAATGTAAAGGGCTTGTTGCAAAACAATAGGGACAGTTCATCTCACGTACACACCTGTTCTTTGTAGTTCACAGAGGCTAATTTGAACAGTTAATATTCCTTGAATTAATTTGACTGAAGTTGTACCTTTGTAAATGTTTTAAATCATGGTTCGGTTACCAGATGCCTGCTTTTGAACACGCCAATGCTATCAGATTCAAAGTTCATACAGTGAATAGTTTATACTTGACCAACAAGACTATTGTTAGCGATTATGCATCTGCACATTCTGCTGTTAGAGGGTCTTCACAGGAGTGTTTTGCTGCAAAATTGGGGCTATATAAAATCATTAAGGGCTGTACAATGACAAATGAAAACTTAAAAATGGCAATTTTTATTGTGATGTCGAAAATTGTCAATCACAAGAACAAAGGCTGGTAATCTACCTTTTGTTCTCAATACTGTATGGGAAAGACGTAGTAGCATAGCAGTCTTAAATCACAATATGAGAGTTATAACTTTGACCCACAGCCGTAATTGATATGATAACTGTGAGATGTGTCTTGCTAATTTTCAGCGGAATTGTTGGAGAACATGGGCCTGAATCCCTGTGTCTTTTTTGGATGCATGCCTCTTCTGGAGTACTGTGTCCAGTTCTGGTCGCCCAGTTACAGGAAGGATATTATTAAGCTGGAGAGGGTTCAGAAGAGATTTTCCAGCATGTCGCTGGGAACGGAGAGGCTGAATAGGCTGGGATCCTTTTCACTGGAGTGTAGGAGGTAGAGGGTGACCTTATAGAGGTTTATAAAATCATGAGGGGTATAGAAAAGTGAATGACAAGTGTCTTTTCCCTAAAGTGGGGTTTTCAAGACAAGGGAGCATATTTTTAAGGTGAGAGGAGAAAGATTTAAAAAATATGAGGGACTTTTTTTTGTACAGAGTGTGGTTCCTGTGTTTAATGAACTTCATGAGGAGGAGGTGGATAAAAGTTACAATGTTTAAAAGACATTTGGATAAGTACATGAGTAAGAAAGGTTTGGAGGGATATGGGCCAAACGCATGCAGATGGGCCTGGTTTAGTTTGGGATAATGGTCGATATGGACTGGTTGGACCAAAGGTTTTGTTTCCATGCTGTATGACTCTATGATGACTGAGAGAGAGGTGTGAGATCAGCTTAATCTCATTGTAACTCTTTGTGCTGCTTCCTCCTCTATCTAGAGAGATTCCCAGAATGATGTCCATGAAGAAAACAGTGCATTCTCAGAGTTCCTTTTAAAAAATTCCAAACATCTCGCAGCCTGTAGAACACATTGAAAAGGAAATTATATAATGTAAGCAGAATTTCTGCTTCTCCAGTTTTCTCTGAGAACCCCTTTAAATATTGTTATAAATGGTCACTTCTCAGTTTGTCTTACCCTTAGTGTGTGACAGAAGCAGAATATTGTGTGTTGTCAGATGAGCAGAGACAGAAATCTTCTTGAGATCTTGATTTTCACTTAATAATGTGGCAGCAGCCTAATTTTCGGCAGGGGCTCTGGGACAAAGACATCCCCGATACAGAGATCGCCAGGTTTCAATCACCTATTAATTTGTGCTTGTGCCCTCCCTTCTTCCCTCCACCATTTGATTTTTAACTACAACTGGTAGAGACTGACTCAAAAGACTGCTTCCCAGGAAATGCTGAATGAAAAGCTAAATAGGTAGCTGCATAAAAATGTGAAAAATTATTCAGCGTATCGTGCACTTTGATCAATCAAATCTGAATGGACTTTTTTTTCTGAGTTTTTATGGGCAATCTGCTTTGCTTCCACTACCGCTGCAATCACCCTCTCCCTTTCGTTTTGCTTAATTTATTCTATGGATGTGTGTATCACTGGCTAGGCCAGCATTTATTGTTCATCCTTCATTGCCTATGACCCTTCCAGTGTAAATACAATGAAAATGAACTTCCGAAAATGATTCGTAGACAATCTACAAAAACTGTACGTTTCACTAAGAAATACTTCTAAATTACCTATAACCTCAATGGTTTTCTTAACTGGTTGCTTAATATGTTGATTGCAAATGAATCTATCATTTATATGCTGAATTATGTCTACTTGTATGATATAAATATCAAAACGTATAAAATAATTTTTGTTCATAATATTAACAACTCTAAGCTGTTTCAACGCAATGTCACATTATTTTGTGATGGATTATTTATTTTCATAGGCTCAGAAAGAAAACATAATCCCCATAAAGAAAATGGAAAACATTATCCTGTTTGTTAATTCATTTTTTTATAGGTACCATACTGTTGTGATTATTTATATTGTTTTTTAAAAAGCCTTGAAACTATTTTCAGAACTAATATATTGCTTTAATGTACATTGGTCATTGTATCCAGAGTCCTGATATTTATGGGACTGCCGTGTAGGGGTTGGGGGTCATTGCAGCGACGCTGGAGATGTGTTTTTCTTAAATGTTAAAAATGGCAGACGTATTTGAGCTGTGAACATTTTTTGCTGAGGTTTCCCACCAAACAGCCGGCCTGGAGTCAGAGGCAGTGTGGTTGGGTACTTCAGTCGAGCTTGTGAGGGAGCAGACATGGTGGAGTTTACAGGTTAGCTTGTTTGGTCTGGAGCAAGCAATCCTGTTCCTCCCAGCCCACAATCTTGGAATCATAGGAAGGTTATTCAACTGCAACAGCCACTCAACTTTTCCCACACATTTTCCCTTTCCCTGTAACCCTGTAATTCCTTTTCTCTCTCTTCAGGAACTTAGCCTAGCCTCCCTCAAAAGCCATGAATGAATCTATGCCATCACACTGTCAGACGGCATATTCCAGATCCTAACCGCTCGCTGTGTGGAAATATTTTTTCATGTCATCTTTGCTTCTTTTGCTGATCACGTTTAGTTAGTGCCCTCTGGTTTTTGACCCCTCTGCCAAAGGGAGTGAATTCTCTTTATCTATGCTGTCTGGCTGTCTCATGATTTTGAGCACTGATGTTAAATCTTCTCTTCTCTTTCCTCTTCTCTTCTCCCTTCTCTTCTCCCTTCTCTTCAATTCTCTGAGAAGAATTGCTTCAGCTTTTCTGATCTATCTTTGTGACGGGAGTCTGTCATCTTTGGAGTGATTTTTGTAAGGAACAAACTATGCTCTAAGACACTTATCTAATGGATCTCACCTTTTCAGCTCCTTCTGCCTGCTGGATTTCCTGGGCCTGGTAACTGCAGTCAGGATAAGCTGAAAGAAAAACAACCCATTAAAGCAAAGGCATTCCACCTCATTTTTTTTTTCATTCACTCATGGGACGTAGGCGTCACTGTCTGGCCAGAATTTTTATTGCCCATCCCTGGTTACCCTTGGAAGGTCATGGTAACCTGCCTTCTTGAACCACTGCAGTCCATGTGCACTGGGATTCTGGGACCTTAATATTGAAAGAATTAATCTAAAAACACAAAGCAGTACAAAAGTTGGTTTTGTTCCTTTCTCTCTCAAGCATGAAGAACCCCACGTACAAACTTCCATCACCACTGTTCTAATTGATTATTTATTAAATATTCAAGTACACTTTGACGTCTTTGCTTAATCCATTGGGTGATTTGTATTCAGTGATTTTTCTCTTCCAGCTTCAGAATGATTACATTACTTAAAATGTTTCAACAACAGACTGCTTTTGTGCCTCTCATCTCCATTAAATCCAGAAGTGGGTAAATTTAAGAAGGTTTGGATTCCTGTTTCACCTGAACCAAGCCCATACTTTTCAGGGTTCAAATCACCTGTCTCTCTCTTGATTTAATCTCTGAGCAGAGCACATATACAGCAGGTATCCATATTACTCTGCTGGACAATTAAAATCACAACTAGATATCAAGGAAGGAACATTGAATCTAATGAGTTAATCCTGACAGGGCAACTTGAATTACTTTGGAAGGTTTTGACCTTGGCCCTTAAATCAGTTTGGATTGAAATGCCCTTTGGACGACTTCTGACATCCAATAAGAATATTGCAACATTACTGCTGATGTTACAAAATGTGAATAATGCTGTTTGCTCTATCAGCACATCCTCTTTGCTGAGGGAAAGTGTATAGAATGGGTGACAGAGGATTTCAAGGCACATTTTGAAGAATTGAGAACGGTAGCTGCCAGCCACTGTACATTTCTGTGTTGGCTCCTGTCAATGCACATGGGGCATCCTCATTTTAAATGTTATTGTGGGCAATCTGCTTTGCTTCCACCACCGCTGCAATCACCCTCTCCCTTTCGTTTTGCTTAATTTATTCTATGGATGTGTGCATCACTGGCTAGGCCAGCATTTATTGTTCATCCTTCATCGCCTATGACCCTTCCAGTGTAAATACAATGAAAATGAACTTCCGAAAATGATTCATAGACAATCTACAAAAACTGTACATTTCACTAAGAAGTACTTCTAAATTACCTATAGCCTCAATGGTTTTCTTAACTGGCTGCTTAATATGTTGATTGCAAATGCCTGTGGCCAGTTCTGCATGCTTCAGGCAGGTGCTGGTATTCAGTGAGCTGTGTACAGCCTTCTGAACGCAAGTCTCATTACCCTTTGCTACGTATTGATTCCCCCTGTGGGATCTTTCCCTTCTGACTACCCTCATTTATAGTGTGCATTTGCATCACTCAGCATTCAGATCGATAACCAGTGGTGCTTTGGGCGAGAATTAATGGCATTTTTTTTCCAATTCAGTGAGATGGTGTGTAATGGAATGACTGTTTCCTCTAATTAGAGAAAAACTTTAATGGTTATATTCACAGCAAAAGTTCTTCACTGTCAGTAATGTAATCATTCCTGAAGCTGGAAAAGAAAAATCACTGAATACAAATCACCCAATGGATTAAGCATAGACGTCAAAATGCACTTGAATATTTAATAAATAATCAATTAGAACAGTGGTGATGGAAGTTTGTACATGGGGTTCTTCATGCTTCAGGGAGAGAAGAGAACGAAAGCAAATTTTTGTTCTGCTTTGTGTTATTGGATTAATTCATCCAATATTAAGGTCCCAGAATCCCAGGCCACATGGGCTGCAGTGGTTCAAGAAGGCAGCTCCCTACCACCTTCTCAAGAGCAAACCACGGGCAAGCAATAAGAATGTTAGCCAGCCAACGACACCCGTGTCACACAAGTGAATTAAAAAAAAAAATTCACTTCTGAGAAAGGCACATGACTCATTCGTGGAGCCTCTGAGAATGCATTCTGAGTTCATTTTCACAAGGGAAGAAAACCAGTTAATATGCTGTTGCTAAAACGAAAGCTGCAAAACAAAAAAAAGGAGAGGAAGTTGGCCATCATCTGAAAAAAGGAATGTAAGGAAACCCTTCTGGATTCTTCTGATGAAAGGTTACTCTAAAAATATTAAACTTTTTTGTTTTTTTCTGAAGCTAATTGGTCTGCCAAGTATTTTCAGTGATCTATCTCTTCATTTCTTCAATGGTTTAGATTTTGAGCAATATGATTTTTTGTCATGAAATAATTGAGATGAGAATGAGTCTGATCAAAGTTGGTCGTCTAGGTTTGGCAATGTGGCGGGTGCCTCATTGGAAATGGGTGAAGTTGGATGCAAAGTTGTTTGATAAACCTATCACTGATTCCAGTGTTTTCTACAGGATTGCCATCCATCATAAAATTTTGTGTGAACAGTGTTATGAAACAGACCCAAACCCCTCAAAATAAATTAAGAAGGTAACCTAGACCCTAACTTTTTCTTCTTTTATACGTAAGTGTATTCCAGATGCAATTCAATTGGTCAAACTATCAACATTAAGCAAACACACTTCATTTTTACACTATAGTTAAAATATAGACAAAATAAAAAGAAATGAAAGGAATTGGCTTAACTCTATCAAAATGTTTAACCAAATAGTATAGATATTAACTACTACTCATTAACTGTTCCAATATAGTTACAGCCCATAAACGCACTCCTGGTAAAGGCAAGCTCAGTAAAATAGATTGTCTCACATGCCATTCTAGCAGCCATCATTTGTGTCCTTGAGAAAATGGTAATGGACTTTCATGTTGAACCGCCACAGCCCATGAGGTAAAATACTTTGACTCAGAAACATAGAAAATAGATGCAGGAGTAGGCTATTCAGCCTGTTGAGCCTGCACCACCATTCAATATGATCATGCAATCTCAGTATCCCATTCTTGCTTTCTCCCCATACCATTTGATCCCTTTAGGCACAAGGATCACATCCAGCTCCCTCCTGAATATATCTAAGGAATTGGCCCCAACAGCTTTCTGTGGGAGAGAATTCCACAGATTCACCACTCTCTGAGTGAAGAAAGTCTTCCTCATCTCAACCCTGAATGGCTCATCCCTTATTTTTAGACTGTGACTCCTAGTTCCGGACTTCACCAACATTGGGAATATTCTTCCTGCATCTAGCCTGTCCAGTCTCATCAGGATTTTGTATGTTTCTATGAAATCCCCCCTCCTTCTTCTAAATTCCAGTGAGATTTTACACTGAAATGCTGCTAGGCAAGATGTTTCATAATTTAGACCCAGTGACAATAAAAGAACTGCAATATATGTCCAAGTTGGTATGATTTGCTGTATGACTTGGAGGTGCAATGTCCCTATGAGCTGGCTTCTATCTTCCCAGTACCTGCACTGCTCTGTCCAGTGTTCACTTGCTCTGCCAGTGTCCACCCTCCCCAGTGCCCACTCTACTCTGCTCCATTCCACCTCGTCCTGCTCTGGCAGTCTTCTCCAATGTGCCCAGTTGACTACAGAAGTGGCATCCATGTCCTACTCACATCATTGGCTGAATGCTGTCTTCAATTGGTGGACTTGTGTCAGCTACACAGTGGGTCCCAGAGAAAAATGTTCTCTCACTCCACGGGCAAGGGGCAAGTGAAACCAAGGTTTATACTAACACTGGTTGGAGGACTGTCGACGTGAAATTTTGCCCACATTAGAACTGACCATGTGACCTGTCTTTAATTCTTGTGTAACAGTTGTGAAGATTAAAATTTATTCTTATTTACACATTTCAATTTCTCTATTCTCCTACTGTTCAATTGTTTGTCCAGAGGTTTAACATTTCAGGATCACTGTTATGAAATGGTTGGGCCTGGTTTTCCTGTTGTTGTTTGTACAGGAGTATGAGCTGATGAAGCAAACCATTCTGTTTGTAAACTTAAACCAGAGGCACAGCTGGTGGACTGTGTACTGGAGCTGTATTCACAGAAACAATTGAGTTTGAGGTACTTCAAGACATCCCACACCTAAGCTGTCACCCACATAGTAAAACCTTTTTTGGTGTTAAAGTAACTATAACATTTTTGGCACCACTTAATCTAAGGAGACCATTTTTCCCTTTATGGAAATAACAATTACTGCGCTAAGTATAAATAAGACAGCTTAAATACAGTTTTTGGCACACAGTCTGCACCAGATGAAGGTAGCAAAATAAGACTCAGAGCTAAAGCCACGTAGGTTTCCTTAAACTGGGACAAGTGAATAGTTGTTGATGGTAGTCAAGGCAGTCAAATAGGAATGACTTTAAGTTAAAGGTTTAATGTGGCGTGGTCTAATATGATTTAATATACAACATATATAGCCCACAGAAACACACAATTTACTCTCCTATTTTATTAACAGTAGGGGCAGCACGGTGGCTCAGTGGTTAGCATTGCTCCCTCACAGCACCAGGGACCTAGATTTGATTCCACCCTCAGGCAATTGTCTGTGTGGAGTTTGCACACTCTCCCCGTGTCTGCATGGGCTTCCTTTGGGTGCTCTGGTTTCCTCTCACAGTCCAACGATGCTCAGGTTAGCTGGATTGGCCATCGGAAATGTACGGTTACAGGGATAGGGTTGGGGGTTGGTGGGTCGGTCTGGGTGGGATGCTCTTTGGAGGGTCAGTGTGGACTTGATGGGTTGAATAGCCTGCTTCCACATTGTCAGGTTCTATAATTCTAATCACTCCAGACCCACAGCAATGTGTTTGACTCTTGACTGACCTCCAAAATGTCCAAATAAGTTACTTAGTTGTATCACCGCGAGAAAGATTCCTAAAGTCCAAATTAAATCAGACAGACCACCTAGCATCAGCCTAGGCAACAATAGCAAACACAATACTGCTGACCCCACAAGGTCGTCCTGACTAACTTCTGGGGACTAGTGTCAGAATTAGGAGAGTTGTCTCACAGACTAGTCAAGCCACAGGCTAGCATAAAACAAAAACAGAAATTGCTGGAGAAACTCAGTAGGTCTGGCAGCTGTCTGAGAAGAAAATAGATTTCCTGCTTTGAGTTTGGTGACTCTTCATCAGAACTGTTAGTAGCTAGGGAAATATGGTACTTAGGCTGAAGCTGAAGTGGGGGCATGGTGGAGCGGGTGGTGGGGTGAGGAAAGGATGGAGATGGAGCCCAGAGAGAAAGAGAGAGATATGTAAGGGGTAGGTAAACAGGGAGATAATGCATAGTAGGCCAGAAGCATAAGAAAAGCTGAATAAGAGATCATACAAGCTAAGAGTGAGAAAATGAGTTAGCTATACTGAATGCAGCACATATAATGTGATAATGGGCCTAGGAATGTTTGAGAATGGGTACAACTGTGCTAAAAGCAACCCATGTTATAACAGCCGAAAGAAACTGCGGATGCTGTATAAATCAGGAACAAAAACAGAAGTTGCTGGAAAAGCACAGCAGGTCTGGCAGCATCAGTGAAGAAAAAAATCAGAGTTAACGTTTTGGGTTCGGTCACCCTTCCTCGGAACTGTTACCGGGCCCGAAACGTTAACTCTGATTTTTTTCTTCACAGATGCTGCCAGACCTGCTGAGCTTTTCCAGCGACTTCTGTTTTTGTTCCAACCTATAACAGGACTGGGTGTGGGGGTGGGTAAAAAGTGTGGAAGGATAGAATCAGACTCTAAAGTTAATGAACTTGATGTCGATCCCTGAACGCTGCAGGGTCGCCCAAGTGGAAAATGAGATGCTATTCTTCCAGCTCGCGCTGACCCTCACTGGAGCACTGCAGCAAACCTGAGACAGAGAAGTTGGCCAGGGAACATGGTGATGTGTTAAAGTGGTAGGCAACTGGAAGCTTGGGGCCCCATATCCATTAAATTTGCATCAGAAATATTACCCTTTATACCAATTTTAAATGGGAAATTCACTGCACGGGTTTCAGTATCACACGCTATCTGGTTATTTACAACGAATTTGATATTCCAAAGAAGCTCTGCCAACATCCTGGAGGGCAATCAGAACAAGAAGATTGCATGGTGCACAATACAGGCATGTTTTAAGCTTAAATGAATGCCTTTAGTGTGATATACCTACCTAATGTCAGCCTTTTAAGCATCACCACTGTTGAGGGTTCAGCGTTCAGACTGATATTTGATATGAGAAAAGATCTCTCTGCCTTTGTTATTAGCCAGCGACCTCTTCTGTAATCCTGAGCTATTGGTGTCTAGTCGAAATTATGGAAAAACAGACACAAAAAGACATAAGTAAGAGGCAAACGTTCTTTAAAAGGCAGCATCAAATCAAAATGTTATATTCCTGCTTGATACTGCTTTACAATATTACTTATGGACGTTTTCTTTAAACTGTTTTTTAGCACCAAATGTAATTCTTCTCTAAATTAGTTAAATAAAAAATTAATATGTGATGTAAATCATGGATCTTTTTACTTTCAACAATGTCTTTTTGGGATGACGAGCAATGGTTTCAATAAAGCTGAGACACTCGGGTAGGTAAGAGCTAGGCAGAAATCTAAAAAGAAATCAAAGGGCTTGGGAAGTCTTCTTATTTAAATGACTTAAGTATTGTCTTAGAAGAGATAAGCACTCTTTCCATGAATTTCTTTAGCCCTTGAATCTATAGTAACCTCTCAACTCTCTGTCCATTTTTCTTGGAATGCCTTGTTTGTGTCATTACAGTTAGGTTTTCATCCCACTTCAGGACTGAAACAGTTCTTAACAAAATCAGAAATGATATCCTTTGTGTCTTTAAAAACTATAATGTCCTCATTCCTCTCGACCCATCTATAGCCTTTCACCAGTGAGGGCACCATCCACCACCAATACCTCACATTTATTCATAATAGAAACAAAGAACTGTGGGTGCTGAAGATCTGAAGCAAAAACAGAAATTGCTGGAGAACTTCAGCATATCTGGCAGCATCTGTGGAAAGAAAGCAGAATTAACGTTTCAGATGTAGTGGTCTGAAGGAGTTACATTGTCTGTCAGGCTTACAGCATGGTGCACTTGTTTGTATTGAAGCTGTGTATATTAATACACAGGGTCCTGTTCATCACAGACAGAAATAACACGTATGCACAATGCACTTACTTCAATACAACAAGATAGATGGCAGCCATTCTTTGGTTAATTTCTCAGGATAATGCCTTTATCAATTAGAGTCAACCTGCTTTTTTGTTAATTTAAGCAACATTTAGCAATTAATTGTCAGTCATAATTAACAGGTGCATTCTAGATGCCAACAGCTCTACTGATCAGAGTCCACTTGACAATCTTCACCACCTTGGTGTCACATGTGACCTTGAAATAAACTTCTGATGCATATTCATGCTAACACTAGACATTGTGCCAATTTTCAATAACAACATCTAGCATTAGCTCTCCCTCAATTCATCTACTGCTGAAAACCTCACTCATAATCGAGTTATCTCTGGACTTGGCTATTCTAATTCACATCTGGTTGTCTGTCACATTCCATCTTCCATAAACCTAGGACTATCCAAACCTCTGCTGTCCTTGTCTTGAACCCATTCTGTCTCATTCACCAATCATTTCTATACTTAAATTACATTGACTCTGGTCGAGTAATGGCTTGATTTTAAGATTCTCATCCATTTTTTTCAATTCCCTTGTAGATGTCATCCTTCTTTATCTCTGTAACCTCTTCTAATCCCAAAAACCAGAAAGATATCCATGCTCATCCAATTCTAGCCTCTTGAGCATCCCCAGTTTGAGTTGCCAACCCAATGGTGTTCATGTCGTCTGTTGCCTAAGATCTAAGCTCTAGAATACCCTCCCTGCACCTCCCTGTCTCACTAACTCACTCTCCTCATAAGATGCTCTTAAAAGTATACCTTCCTCATCCACTCTAATTTCTTCTTTTCTGACTTGCTGTCACACTTTGTTGCTAAGCAGCCCTTTGAAATACCTTGTTTTTTCAGTCAAGTCATATTGTCATACAGTACGGAAACAGAACCCTCTGTCCAACCAGTCTATGCGGATTATAATCCCAAACTAAACTAGTCCCACCTGCCTGCTCCTGACCCATTACCCTCCAAACCTTTCCTATTCATATATCTATCCAAATGTTTTTTAAATGTTGTAATTGTACCTGCATTCACCACTCTATCAGGAAGTTCATTTCACAAGCAAACTATCCTCTGTGTAAAAAAAATTTGCCTCTTAGGTCTTTTTAAAATCTCTCTCCTCTCAACTTAAAAATGAACCTCCCAGTCTTGAAATTCCCCATCTCAGGGAAAAGACAATTACTGTCAATTCTATCTAAAACTGTCATTATTTTATAAACTTCTATCAGGTCACGTCTCAACCTCCTGAGCTCCAGTGAAAAATGTCCCAGCCTGTCCAGTCTTTCCTTATAACTCAAACCTTCCATACTGGCAAATCTCTTCTGAACTTTCTCCAGTTTGATAATATCCTTCCTATAACTGGACACAGTTTTCCAGAAGAGGCCTTACCAATGTCCTGTACAACCTCAACATAATGTCCCAATGCCTATACTCAAAGGACTGAGCACCCATAGCAGAGGTAGCAAAACTACAAATAGTGGGGAAGGTTTACTACTTTGGAAACATCTAACTGCCAGCTGGGAGATTGAAACAAAACTCGTTCTGCTCCTTGAGTTCCTTTCCCTCTAAATTTCAAGCTATGCTCTGATTATCTCTCAAAGGGTAAAGATTTGATAGGTCAGATTTATATGTTTTACACAGTGCCACCTGAAAACAGATCAGAGGCAGAATGTCTTCACTTTGTGGGACTTCATTTTGTGCAGGGTTGAGGAGATTAAAGAGTTTTGTCTAACACAGAGAGCAATTAACAATACTAGCGCATGATGTGTGATTGGTAAAGCAGAATTGGTTAACCACAGTATCAGTCGCTTGTATGAAACAGGAATGTTGTTAGGATGATTAATGGAACAATTAAGTAGGAGCCATACTTCAATGAAGAAAAATACCTTTTTATTCACCTGTTTTGAAGGTGCTACATTTCTGACGAATTGCAGGAGGAAAGTATCGATGTTACTCCCTTGGTTCACTTCTGGTCTCCCTGCTATAGGAAGGATGTTGTGAAACTTGGAAGGGTTCAGAAAAGATTTCCAAGGATGTTGCCAGGGTTTGGAGGGTTTGAGCTATAGGGAGAGGCTGAATAGGCTAGGGCTATTTTCCCTGGAGCATTGGAGGCTGAGGGGTGACCTTATAGATATTTATAAGGGGCATGGATAGGTTGAATAGTTAAGGTCTTTTCTCCAGGGAAGGGGAGTCCAAAACTAGAGGGCATAGATTTAAGGTGAGAGGGAAAAGACTTAAAAGGGACCATAAGGGGCAACATTTTCACGCAGAGGAATGAGCTGCTAGAGGAAGCTGGTACAATTATAACATTTAAAAGGTATCTGGATGGGCATATGAATAGGACGGGTTTAGAGGGAGATGGACCAAATGCTGGATTCATTTAGGATATCTGGTCAGCATGGACGAGTTGGGTTGAAGGATCTGTTTCCATGTTGTACATCTCTATGACTCAATGACTCTAATTCTTCACAGCTCTAGTTGTGTACTCCATGAGTAATCATGATCTCCAAGGGTTGGTTCGAAAGGAGATATCTGACAGGTGATCTGATCGACTGTAAGCCAAACAGTGAACAGCATGGAAAATACAAATCAAGAAAATTAAGCCAAGCTGCAAGAATTGAACACAGGGACTTGGCTCGGCTTAGTTAAAAGCATATTTAAGATTGAAATTCTTCACACATATTCATCAGTTGACTTTCAGACAAAGTGGTGCAGGTGGAAAACCTGGAATCATTTCAGCATTAATTGGATATCACAATGATTGGTCTTTAGGGCTGATTTGGAATGAATGAGCTTAGATTGGCAAAATAGAATTATCGTTCGATTGGCAGAAATACTTACTGTTATGCAGTCACCCACTTTCTCTGAATCAGATATGCGAAATTGACCAACATGCAAACGGTTGGAATGCTTGTAAAGGCTTTAGTGAAATGTACAGAGTTTGTGACCTTGATAAGACTGCTGAAGGATCTTATGTGCTTTCAGTTTTCCCACAGAGAACCCACCTGCTGTGTGGATCTATAGGTACCATCCAAAAATCAAGAGATTGACACAACAACAGGCAAAAGTACAGTCCAGAGGGTCAACATTGGCAGACTTTCAGCTGGTCTGGAAAATTTCAATTATCCTACAGCCTGGTTTGTTAGATGCATATGCTGTAACAAATGTGCAATACTCCAAAGATTTGGGGAAACAAACAAATGTACAAGAGTGTATAATACATGACTTTACGATTGTGACCTTTAAGTGTGTTTTGTTTCAGGCGTGTTCATTGAAATAGACTCCTAAAAGTCTTATTGGTTTTATAATTAAAGTTTTTTGGTAAGAAGAAAATTAAATATTAGGAAACTGGTCGAGTCTCTGAACTGATCACATTCACTATGGCTTGCTTTGTGTCACGTAAAGCCTATTTATGAAACATTGTTAGTTGTAGCCAAAAAAGTAAACAACATTTCACAGCTTGTCTTTTGTGTTTAGATAGGGATTTTTTTTTAATATTTTTGAGCAGTCCTCCAAGTGATCTGTAAATACAAGACAATAACAAACAATTGGATGGTAATAGAAATCCCCATTTCTCATAACGTATCAACATATGTTTAAAATGCTACCCTCAATAGATATTAATTATCCCTAAAACCGATCAATCTTGAAGTCTGCACTGAAATGTTGTCCAGCACTACGCATCAGGAGATTCATAAGTTAATTATGCCAAACCCCAGAATGTTTACATATTAATGTTTTCAAATTCATCAAAGTACTGATGAGTGAATACATATAGGGTTAAAAATTGTTATGATTCCGGCTGATGCTATTGTTCAATGCGTCAGATCACAGCTTGAAACCAGATTTGTTAGACCATAGTTTTATTTTTCTGTTTCTCTTTAACATGGAGTTCAATCCCTGAACATATTCAGAAGAGCCTGCCAAAGTGTTTTAACAAAAGAACATAAATGTTTACTGCACAGAAAGGAAAAACGCAAACGATATTACACTTGGTTGGACCAAAGGTTCTGTTTCCGTCCTGTACAACTCTATGACTCTATGCAAGGACTAATAGAATAATTCATTACAATTATCCACAAAAGAAAGATTCACAACTATTAACTTTACAGATGTTTAAACCTCATTGATGGGTCACCTTTATCTACATGTTCAAACTCCTTGTTCAGCTGACCCTGTAATTGGTTTCCTTTCAGCACAGTTTGGTGCATTCACTTGATTCTATTTTCTTCAGATTTATTTCTGGACATGACTTACATGGTGTTTCTGCTCTGACATCTTCATCGCCTTCCTCTTCTGGAGTATTCTTCTGAGGAGCTCAGGGCATCTCCCCTTCTGTGCTGATTGTTTCAGGGTTTGCTATTATAGATCTTTCACCCCTGAACAAACTTGTGGCTGGGCCCCTCTGTCTCTTTCTGGGTTGTAAAACTCAAGTTGCGCACATCACAGCAATTATCTCCCTTAAGGGGACTTGCTAGTCCAGCAGAGTTAAGGAGAATATCAAGGCATTTTATACATATATTAGGAACAAGAGGGTATCTAGGGAAAGAATAGTCAACTCAAGGATAAAGGAGGGAGGTTATGTGTTGAGCTAGAGGAAATGGTTGAGACCCTTAATGAGTACTTTACACTGGTATTCACCAAGGAGAGGGAGATGAGGGATGTTGAGGTTAGGGAAAGGTGTGTGAATACTCTTGGGCAGGTCAATATAACGAAGGAAGAAGTGTTAAGTGTCTTGAAATGTATTAAGGTAGACAAGTCTTGCAGCGCTGGATGGGATCTGTCCCAGGATACTGTGAGAGGCATGCAAGGATATAGCTGCGACCTTAACAGATATCTTTGCATCCTCTTTGGCCTCAAGCGAGGTTCCAGAGGACTGGACAGTAGCCAATGTTGTTCCTTTGTTTAAGAAGGGAAACAGAGATAATCCAGGTAATTACAGGCTGATGTCAGTGATGGGGAAGCTGTTAGAGAAGATAGTCAGAGACAGGAGTTATTCACATTTTGAAGCAAATGGACTTGTTAGTGATAGGCAGCATGGGTTTGTGTGGGGAAGGTCATGTCTCACCAACTTGATTGAATTTTTTGAGGATGTCACAAGAATGATTGATGAGGGTTTGGCAGTAGTTGTTGTCTACATGGACTTTAGTAAGGCATTTGATAAGGTACCCCATGGCAGGCTGGTACAAAATGTACAGTCTCATAGGATCCAGGGTGAGCTGGCTAGATGGATACAGAACTGGCTTGGTCATAGAAGACAGAGGGCAGCGGTGGAAGGGTGCTGTTTGGAATGAAGATCAGTAACTAGTGGTGTTCCGCAGGGATCAGTGCTGACACCTTTGTGGTTTGTAATATATATAAGTGATCTGGAGGAAAATATAGGTGGCCTGATTGGTAAGTTTGCAGATGACACCAAAATTGATGGTGTTGCAGATAGTGAGGAGGACCATCAGAGGATGATGCAGGATATAAATGGATTGCAGATTTGGACACAGAACTGGCAGATGAATTTTAATCCGGACAAATGTGAGGTGATGAATTTTGGCTTGGTGCGCCACAGGGCCTGGACCTGTGCTGTATTGTACTGTATTGTTTTGTATAAAATCGGATGATTTCTTGGAAACACTATCTTTAGCTCACTGTTCCAAATTACTGTCTGATCCTTATTTCAAGAAAAAACATCAGACCGCCACAGAAATAAAAATGAAAAACCATTTTGCGTCCACCTTAAAATCCAAGTTTCGAAATAATATATTATGAGACTTCATCACACAGCATTGTAATGTGCACATCATTACTGATCTGAAACAAAAGCTAAGAGAATTTAATGATTTGAGTCAAATTGATATTTATCTTCCATGAAGTATATTTTGAAATAATGAAATATGCCACTACATTACTGAATGTTCCAATCCCCAGCTTTGCAGGATCTTTAATCAGAGTTGTTTCTTTCATCCACGTTATCAACATTTCCGAAGGTGAACGAACAATGAACAATATCGAAAAATGAATGCTCCAATTACTCATTCTTTTTGACATGTCAGAAGTCAATTTGGAACATCAAGAGCTAAATCTTTTTGACCATTTACATTAAAAGTAAACCAGCAGCTTAAAAAATGTATAACGAATATTTTGTAAACATTCCGATGAACTGGGGACTGTTTGGAGATCCACAGAGCAATGTTTCTTCGGTACAATTAAAGTCATGCACATACAGTGAAACATGTAACTTCTGAATTTTACCCTTGGTTGGAATTTTACCTGCTGCTTGGGGATGCATTTCAGGATGGTGGAGGTAGGATGGGGGTATGGAAATTAAGAAGGCAGCAGTGTGCCTTTTCCAAGGTGAGTTCCCAGTGGCTACCCACCAGCTGAAGTAGGGGGCCACTGAAGGTATTTGAAAGGGCATTTGGTCTCTATTTAGCTCTGCGGTGAAATTTTAACCGATGGCACACAGGATCCTTGCTGAATCAGGAGCTTGGCAACGCATGGAGGCAATGAGAGCTCAAAGCTCTGTTGTATGATCTTGCAGATTAATTTGAAAGTTATCAAAAAGGCTGCAATCAGCATAATATGCAGGTGGCCTGCTAATTGGCTTTCTTTCATAAAATTGAGCTGGCAGGCAGGCCTCCAAAACATGTGGCACCCTACAAAGCTCCAGATGTGGGGTTTCTAACACCCACAGGAAAGGTCAGCCCCTAGTGAGCTATTCCATCCACGGGCAGCCTGACTACAAACTCAGAAACCTCCTCACTTAGCATCTGAACTTGTGTCCCTCGGGGAAAGGTGGAGTGTGGAGCAAGTGAAGCAGGTAAAATGCTTATGTTGCAAAGAAGTGCGAGAACATGACAGGCTTTGAGCCTGTAATTTGTACAGTGAGCTTTATTTCTGATATGAGTGAGAACAAGATCTTTCGCATGCATTGGGAGAGATTCTACTTACCACAAATGAGCATATCTTACATGAAAGACAAGTTACAGACGAACTGTTATCTCAGCCAAACTGTTCAGTGACTTCATGCCCAAATTGTGGCTAATAATTGAAGTGTGAAGTGTCAGGATCTTTCAAATAGATGTTTACAGTTATTTCCCTGATTGGCCATTCCCAGTGACAAGTGGTATCAGACCCTTCCTTATAATACTGCTCACTTGGGTTACAAGAATGGTGAAATCTGTGCTTTGGGTTGGTCCTGTGTTGCTGGGTTCCTTCCTAGGAGCCCCTGGTTAGAAAACCAGTTCTTTATAATGCCTAAGGGAGACCTTTAACAACTCAAATGACCAGATCTAGCTAGTATTAACAGCCAAGGATATTGTTGTTACTGATGGGCTAGTTCGAGAAACAGATTCACAGGACATTTAATGTATGAAAGAGATTATGCAATCAACCCATGTAAGAGATATTTTCTAATCATCCTGTTTGGAGATGTTATTACACACCTCTGGAGCAGGTGGGACTTGAACCCAGGCTGTCTGGTTCAGAGAGAGAGAGAGAGAGAGGAACTATCAGGTGGCATGCTGGTTCAGTGGTTAGCGCCACTGCCTCACAGTGCCAGGGACCTGAGTTTGAATCCTGCCTTGGGTGACTGTGGGTTTCCTCCCACAGTCCAAAGACCTGCAGATTAGGTGGATTAGCTTGGGATTAGGGTGGGATGCTTTTCACAGACTCGATGGGCTGAACAGTCTCTTTCCACACTGTAGAGATTCTGTGAACTATCACTGCATCACATGTGCTGGAAAGGGAAGCTGGAGCTGAACTTAAAACAGCCATTGGCATCTCTATATCTGATATGTAACGCTGTGATGTAAAAATTGTTCCGATCAGTCTGGCCTTTGTGTGAAATATGAAGATTGACTCACAGGGTACGTTCAAGTGCTGCTTTTTCGGGTCCCTGACTACTGATGGACAGCCTACCAATATCAGAAACTAACCAAGAGGAATAAGATGGTTAGGCCCATCCTCTCTTTCGCACTCACTATATCTGGATATTTCCCATTAGCCCAATTCCAGAACAGTCTGCCAGCCTATGCCCACAGCCTGCCACCACAGCAACCATTCTTATAGAGGCAAAAGGAAGTCATACAGAACCAGAAGGTTGCATGACACCCCAAGTGGAAAAGAAATTCTCCTTGTCTCTGTCCTAAAGTGGCGATCCCTAATTTTAAAATGCCACCCCCTAGTTCTGGACTCACCTACAAGAGAAAGTATCCCTTCCACATCCAGCTTGTCAAAAGATTCAGAAGCTTTTGCACCTCAATCAAGTCATACTCAGGGATGGTGATGATGGTGTCTTGTACATTGTTGTCCTTATGGAATCATACCTTAAA